GAAATAACTTTAACCCTTTTAGTGCCGAAACAACGATATATCGTTACGTATCCGATTACTATTCGCATTGCGAGAGAACTCATCTCATAGTTTAAATTTCTGTTATATTTTATGCTGGTTGGTGCAAAGACAGTGTGTATGCTGGAGCGATAAGATAGAAACTCAGGATTAAAGTTTATAGTAAGATAGTTTCTTGGGACCGTTATCGCAATATGTCGATAGCTGTTAGAACAGAAAGTTTTATTGTCTATTTTATTGTTCTATTTTCCTCGATCTTTTTAAAGAGCATTTCTTAGCAGTTAATGTTTGAAAACCGTCACATTTTGGATATAATTATAATTAGCAATAAAGAATTTTGTAAATTTTGTTACTTCCTTTCTAAAAAAATTACACCGTTATGGATAACAGAATTAGTTGACGAGTTACAATTAAGTGAAAAAAATGTTGACAGTGATGACCAATTATGTGCACTTAGACGTCGGTGACGAAATAATATCGTCGAATATATAGCGACAGCGAAACGAGCAAATATATATAATTTTTTTTATTAAAGTATATAATTTTCATGAAGTTACCGAGACAAATGATAGACAATATAATGCACGCCCATTATTGTTGGAACCCACGGTTCCTAAACATGTGCCACCGAACAATTTGAAACCTGTAGATTATTTCAACTTTTTTTTTACTCATGAATTTCTGAACAAATTAAAATTAAAACAAATCGCTACACAAGACAGTTTTTCGCAAATATCAGAGTACCAGATGGATCCAAAGCAGTAGCTAGATAACACAATATATAAATATTTATAATAATACTAAAATTTTTTTTTAGTAATATTATTCTAGCTACACGAATCACTTGTTTCGTAGCAGATCCGTTTAACGCTTGAAAAATGACTGATAATGTCATATTTATACTTCATACTATGTGATCTACATGCGATGATGTTTTATTCTATGTTTGAATTTTGTAAATATCATTCTTAGTTAGGTTTTTATGAGCTTTTTCCCAAACCTTAGCAAATTCGTCAAATCGTATCTTCGCTCGACTCTAAAAGGATTAATATCAAGGCACCAAATTAATTGCTACACCTAATAAATAGTATTTCTAAATCTCAAATATATAACATTTAAATATGAAATAGTGAAATGATCTATTTTAGATGGGATTCAGTGATGTTGATAGTGACAACAAACCTGTAAGTTTCCAACAAACTTGTGAAGCAAAGAGATCTATTCATTTACAAGAATTACAGCAAAAAGAAGATGAAATGAGACAAATGTTTGTTGCAAGAGTTAAAGAAAAAGAGGCTGAACTTAAAGAAGCTGAAAAGGAGGTAAACATTATTATTATTAAAACTTTCATCGTACTATATAAAAGTATAATTGTTTTTTATAGTTTGTACAACATTTTTATTTTCATGTAAAAATTAATGCCAGCTCCACAATAAATTTGATAAACTAAAAAAAGATCATACGGAAGAAAAAAAGAAATTGGAAGAAAGTCGGAAAAAACTTGAAGATGATATTTTGGAATTTAATAGACGCAAAACGCAATTTGCTCAACAACCACAACATCATACGCTTACATTAGGGAAAAGTAAGAAAAAGTAATATATCTAAATGGACAAATATAATTCTTGTATAAGATTATATTAACAAAAATGGAACTATAATCAAGATAATATATTACAGTATTCATTTAAAATTTAGACGCAATATCTATCCAAAGTATACAAGATATACAATCTTTGTAAAAAAAATAAAAAAAGATAAAAAAAAAAATAATCATCATCGCACAATATAATTTAAATTTTATTCTGTCATTATAGATAAATTCTAATACATGAAAATTAACTTTGAAATAAATTTACTTCGTAACAATTGTAATTATTTTAGCAATTTTATTATTAATTTAAATTTTTGCAATAATGAGATATTTACTTTTCTTTCAAAATGATTTTTAAAGAAGTATATTGTAAACAAGCCTATTTATATATATATATATATATATCTGTATTTTTTATTTATATTACAAATACTGCAAACTTTTGTGCCTAATTTCTTAATCTTACAATTAAGTTAAGTTTTCAATAGCTTTATTTTATAAATTCCTCGCATAATAACATCTTAAAAACGTTTTTCTTCGTTTTAATTGTTAACTATCTAATAGATAACAATTTACATAAAAAATATGACTCCCAAAAATATTTGGATTCTACAGTATATCCAATTTTATGGCTTCATATTTCAAACGTTCTTAAAGCAGTCGCCCTTATTATTCTTTTTAGCAATAGGTTATTTATTAATGTTGATGAACATATATAATTTACTTTAAGAATTTACGTAATTGCATAATCAAAATTATAAAACGAAATGTCACATTTTTAGCTCACAAAAACATTCGGACACGTATTAAATTTCCCTGTTAATCTTCTGGTAATTCGATTATTCAAGAAAGCGAAAACATATGATTCCAAAGAGCATTAGAGATACATTAGACATGTATCTCAAGAAGACCATGTCTTCTCACTACCTTTTAATAGTAAATGTGAATTTGTCTAAAATGGGTCAAAGGAAAGAATATGACGTTAGATGTGAGACAACTTGTAATTTTCTACGGGGAAAAGAGAAAAACTTATCGTGAATTGGAGCAATTTTTGGTATAAGAAAAAGTATTGTTGCAGATATCATTTAACGATTTCATCATGAAAATGGCATTGAATCAATTCCGCAAATTGAAAAAACGCATTACGTACGTCCCTCTTAAGTATGAGAGAAAAAAACCAAATTATTTCAAAAATAAAAGAAAATCCGCAAATAAGTGCTCAAGAAATAATTAGTAAGTTATTAGAAGAAAACGCGAAAAAAATGTCGATTGAAACAATTTGGGAAATATTCGAAATTTAACTTTTATAATTACGACAGAATAAATAGCAATGGTCTAACGAAAAATGAATAAAGGGTTCTATTTCAAGAATACAAAAAGTACGATAAAATTCGGAATTATTGACGTAATGTTCTGAAACTGCATGTCATCATATGAAATTAGAAACTTTGTGTTCATTAACAGTATTATAGACAATTTATTTCGAAGTTCTAACAAAATGTGAATTAATAATAATTTTAAGTTTTATTATATCAAGACAATAACCCAAACACAGGTAATGCATTTTGCAAGTTATTATAAATCACTGCCCCAAAATTCTTATTTCCCACCAAAATCACCGGAACATAATCCCATTGAAAATTCATGGGATGAATTAATAAGAAAATTTTAAAAACTTCAATTGTTTCAATAGCATAATTAAAATAAAGAATTAAAAATGAATATGCAAATATAACTATACAATATTTGTAAAAAATTTTAAATAATACGTTAAACATATTAAAACATATTCTAAAATAAAATGGTTACTCTAAAAAGTATTAAAATTATTTTTTAATATTAAAATTTACATAAAATAAGTGATAAATAAATATTGTCCAAATATTTTTTTAAGTCAAAAATGCGACATTATTTCGTTCAATAATTTTTAGTATGCAATATATGTAAATTTATAAAATAAATTATATATGGTTATTGAGATTAATAAATGACCTATTGCTAAAAAAAAATAACCAGGACGATTTCTTTATAAAGGAGCAAAATATGAAACAATGCAATTAGTCATATCTAGTGTCCAAATATTGTTGGGAGTAATAACATATGAATAGCATTTTAAATAGAGTAAGAAAATACATCATTAAAATTATTTATACTTCTGTATGGCAAAAACCTTAATTCTGTCATTTTGGTAAATCAATTTTTCCTTACACATCGAACACGATCGATTCATGTAGTCCATATTTTATATGGCTTAGCAATTGATCATTACAAAATATATATTATATGAATAATGAATATTAGATTATTAACTTAAAAATTTTTAATCTACTTATATGAACTATAAAGTATATTTTGTACTTATATTAATACAAATGAAATTGTTATACTAAGATTAAGGCTAGATTTCAATTTCCATCGCATTTACATATAATAACGGATAAAAATAATCTAAAAGATATTATTTTCAAACGATAGATATAAATTTATTACTAAGTTAACAAAATTATTACGTTTAAGATAAATTTTAGCCTACTTTATTTGTTTAAAAAAAAAAGTGAATTATGTATCGTACGAACAAAAAGTTCAAATAAAAATATATACATAATGAATGAATGCTGCAGGGGCATATATGTTATATATAACCCCACGAAACCTATATACAAGGAGGACGATCGCAGTGTTATAAATATGTCTACGATATACACAATGAGAGGATGATTTCTATTGCCACTAGAGAGCGCGTCGATTCGCTAGATCTGATTTTTCAAATATGAAAAAACCTACCTTTAACTTAGGAAAAAAATAAATAAATAAGTAGACGAAGTAAATAAAAAATTATAAACTAAAGAAAATGGAATAATTGGTTATAATATAACAAAGGCAAGAAAAAATAACAATAGCATGAAAAAAATGTTGATAAATCATCCTATATATCGGTAAAAAAATTGTGAAATGGAATCAATTTATCTTTAACTCAGTTAGTATAAAACTGAATAATACTGCATGTAAAATGTAATTGCCAGTTACCTTAAACAGTAAACCACAATATCGACTATATAAAATAACCTGTTGAGCTATAAGAAAAATAATCCTTATCCTTTAATTAATCTTTAATTAAATTAAGGCTTCGTGATTAAAACAAAAGCTTCAAATACAACTATTTGTTTATTTATAAAATCACACGTATTTAAATCTGAACTTCTGAACACCAGCGCTGCCCTCGTGGAGAATTATCGTACTCGGTATTTAATTATTTTTAACAACACAAATTCCACGAAAACGCGTATCTCGATCGTCCTCCTTGTATAGAGCTTCGTTTATAGCCCTATAAAAGCAAGGCGTTATAAAAGGATACAGTGGCGCCAACTACAAATCGAAATACGAATTATAGAAGAGCTTCTAGAATCACGTGATCGTGATGTAGTGTACTGAAGACATGGCGGACAAGGAAGAACATGAGAAGACCATCGCCGAAGACTTGGTTGTTACCAAGTATAAAATGGCTGGCGATATAGTAAATCGTAAGAAAACATCTTACCCTTCTTTCGAGAAGCTTGAAAATCACAAATGATTTTGGTGTATGTTGCCACCGATGGTTACTTGGCTCAATTTTGGTACGGCCATATGGAACGTGGCGCGCCAATGCCGGGCTCTTACCATGTGGGACAGCTAGCATCAACTCTCATTTTAGTATTTTCTTGAAATATAGATTTCTTAAAATTTCAACAAATTGGAAAGATATATTTCTGATGAATATCATAATTGTATCTTTCCGGTTATTTTTAATTTTTGTATGATATTTAATCAAAGAACCAGTATTAATATGAGATTTTCAAATGGTATAAGATATTCTCAGAAATGCCCGCGTTTTCTTTCACGCTTCCTATATAATAAAAATTCGTTGAAATATCTTTAGAAGACATTTCATTTATATGCAATATGTTGATCAATTTAGAATTATGAGAGAATTTCTATACGCGAATAATATGGTTTTTTTTGATAAGTAAATATCAATTTAAAATCTTACATGTATAAATGTATGCCAAAAACATGATTCTCAAAATAATATAATGGCTTTAAAAATCTGTGAAACTTAACTATTATAAAAAGCAACAGAATAAGAAAAGAAATGTTGAACTTATTTTATTTCTTTGTAATTATTATAATTATAATTAATATAATATATTTTCTATATCGTAGGAGTATTGAAACAAGTTTTAGACAGATGTATTGTTGGAGCATCTGTGAGGGAGATATGTGAATATGGAGATACACTTTTAACAGAAGAGACAAATAAAGTTTTTAAGAAGGAGAAAGAACTTAAAAAAGGAATTGCTTTTCCAACCTGCATATCAGTAAACAACTGTATTTGTCACTTTTCTCCTATCGCAAGTGAACCGGATCTAATTCTGAAAGATGAAGATATGGTTAAAGTGTAAGTGCATATTATTTATTTTAAGATAATTTTTAATTGCTTTACATAAGTATTAGTCAACACAATTTATAGGTGTGCTTGTCAATGAAAGCAGTTTATATCCGTGCACTTGGATAAATCCATTATTTACATAAATACCACTGTGTTAAGTACAGATACCAGAGGCAGTCTAATGTCGTTAATAGTAAAGTAAAATAACATTGGTCATTGTAATGTATAATTTTTAGTGATCTTGGAGCACACATTGATGGCTTTATAGCAGTTGTGGCACACACTGTAGTTATAGGCTCTTCGACCGAACGCAAAGTTACAGGTAGAAAAGCTGATGCAGTTTTAGCTGCACATTACGCATCTCAAGCTGCGTTAAGACTTTTAAAGCCTGGAACAGAGGTATGATTTGTTACAATTTCAAAAATTACAATATAAGAAGTATTTTTTTTGTAATGAAAATAAACTTCATTAATCTAATATCAGGTATATTTTTTTAGACGTACACAATAACAGGAACAGTTGAAAAAATTTGCGATGCATATAAATGTAAGCCAATTGAAGGAATGTTAAGTCATCAATTAAAACAATTCAAGATAGACGGGGAAAAAACTATAATACAAAATCCAAACGATGCACAGAAAAAAGAACATGAAAAATTTACACTTGAGACTCATGAAGTAAGAGAAACTAATTGTGTATTTTAAAGTATTATTTTTTGAAATTTTGCAAATGGAAATGAAAAAATGCAATAATGTTACATAAATATTTTTTTTCTAGGTGTATGCAATGGATGTACTTGTTAGTACGGGTGAAGGTATAGGACGTGAACAAGATACTCGTGTTACTATATATAAAAAAACTGAAGAAACATATCAGCTTAAGCTGAAAGCATCCCGCATGTTCTATTCAGAAGTTTCCAACAAACATGGTCTTATGCCTTTTAATTTACGAACCTTTGAAGACGAAAAGAAAGCCAAGATGGCAGTTGTTGAATGTGTTAATCATAGGTTGATTGAACCATTCCAAGTAAGGAGTTTATAAAATTTCATTAAGGTATTCATTTAAAAATATATAAAATACAAGATATATATGGTCTAACATTATTTCAGGTGTTATATGAAAAACCAAATGAATATGCTGCACAATTTAAGTTTACGGTATTATTGATGCCTAACGGGCCACATAAAATTACTGGTATTCCTTTTGATCTGGACATTTATCAATCTGACTGTGTAGTAGAAGATCCAGAATTGAAGGTATACATAATATTCATCTATTTCAAAACACTATTTTCATGACATGTTTTAGAAAATGTATAAATAACACATTTTTACACTTTACATTATTATATATTTTATTTAATTTACAAAGTAAAACTATATACATAGATATTTATTTAATTTACAGTCTGTTGGCTCAGTAAATGAATTTGGTTATACATAATAATTTGTTACAAAACTTTATACATACAATCTATAACTCTCATATAGGAACATCTTTTTGATCTTGTCATAGATCACAATAACATATCGCTTAATTTTCTAACCTCTTATATTAGTATCTTCTTTAACCTATACTTATAAACTAAATCTAACTTGATTTAATCTAATCTTAAAAGAGAAACATTTTCAAAACATTAATAATCACATGCTATCCTATTTAACCTATTCGCTTCTTTGCACCATGACTGGATAAATTACTCTCTTTGGTCTTGTTCACTTGTTTTCAACCTCTTCTCTAACTTTCTCAATCACCTTATAGCTTCTTCTTTCCTTTCTTCTCCTAAAATTTGCCTTATGCCTATTTTCTATTTTTTTTACTTTTTCACGCTCTTTCCACCAATGCTCCATACTGTTTTCTTCTTTTCTCATTATTTAACCAAAACCTGTCACAAAATAAAATTATTTGTCTACTACATTATATATATATAAATATCTTGGTAGTAATATAAAATATTTTTTCTACAAAATGTTTAACTTTAATATCGTTACAATTGTAAATTAAATTAAAGAGGAAAGAATTTAATTTAATTTTATAACAAAATCATTGTTTTGCAGACTCTTTTATATACTTCAGCAAATCCTAAATCTGCAAAGAAAAAGAAAAAGAAGGCTGAAAAAGCTGTGGGGGAAGTAGCACTGGAAGTTGACGCTAAGGCCTAACACAATGAAGTTATGCTCGCTATGATTTATTGTCATCAAGCACTATCCCTTTCATATTATCTAGCAGTATAAAGAGTAAAATCAGAAACTTTTCAAAGAATATTGTATTTCACATTTTATTTTTAACCATCAATGTGCCCACTTTGACAGAGTGTAGATCTTTACATTATTATGCTTTTATTATTTCTATAACATATTATTCAATCAAGTTAAATTCAAGGTTAGCCAATGCATAAAAATGCTTATTATTTGAAAAGTGTCTAGTTTTACTCTGTAATAATGACACTTCATGCTATAATTCATTGACACTTACGTTTTTATACCAAAACGTCTTTCAATGACGCAGAGATTATTACTCTACAAAAACTGATAAATATTCTTAAGAAATTGTTACGGATACCTTACATTATATTATATCTTACATAATACTTAAACCAATGTCACTTTTTAATAACAATATGCAACTAATTTTTTTGGAATATCTTGTTTAATCAAGCCGAAGGTAAATCGTATGTGTATATATATACACACACGTCTTTATTAATATTCATAATTATTTAATTGCGAATATATTTTTTGTTAAACATAGCATGCACGCATGACGCATTCATATATATATATATACATACATGTTATGTGTGTGGATGTGTACGCGCGCGCGTAATGTGCTATAAATATATTCATATATTATCTTTAACTTTCTTTTACGTATAGGGACAAAGTTTTTGATAAAATTTATTAAAACGTAAACAATAACATAATCAAATTACATTACTCTGATTAACAACTTCGGCTATTTTAATAAATCAATTTACGTTAATATAAACTAGTCACAAAAAGAAAAAATTTTATGTGTCACAGTGGAAGTACAATAGGTAGAATTAAAATTCACTTACTTTGATAAAAATGTTTCTTCTGTATTATCTGATTTTATACGCTATCACCGGTACTTGAGAATTTAAACTGTAAACACATTTGGCTTGAATTTGTAAAATTGAAAAATATGTCAATGGTAGGACTATTCATAAACCATGAAATATTAATAAGTCTAAAGTGTTTCGTTGCGCAAATTCTTCGATGAAAAGGCAATCATTCTATAACCTATTTTAAGCACCTTATAAAAAATTTTATATCGGTAATTGAGAAGTACTTTACATAGATCAACACACTTGCTTCTCGTGTTGTTTGCATTTAACAAAATGGAAAATGGACCTCTATCGTATGACATACTTGGAAAGTATTCGACTTATTGAGGTAATAAGAGCAAAATAATAATGTGTGTTAAAATAGTTTTATATAAAAAAAAAGGATAGATGTGTCTGTTACAAATATTTTTTCTAAACAAATTGTGTGTATATGTCGAATGTTACAGAATATCCTTATACGACGAGAGATATCATAATCTTCTGTGCACTGTCCTTCCTTTACTTTTATTAATATTTTAACATTTTACTTACCATTATATTAATAATAAAGGTATGCAATATGTTACAAGCCAATTACATTCATTATTTCGGGGATTATAATAAAATATTATTGATTAAATTGTATATGTTATATGATCAAAACAATATTTAAGATTGTAATACTTTTTATGCAAAAAAGGACAGTACACCATAAATGTTTACTAACGCGATCATAAAAAAAATAAAAGGTAATATTATTTTGATTGAATTAGTGGTTCCGCGATAGTTGTAACATAAAATGCATTATTTCTACAATTAATTCACGAATCAATGCCATATGGTCATTATTATAATACAGTTTTAACGTATGAAAGGTCTTTTAATATTTATTTTCTTTTATTTTTTTTTTCATTAAACATTTTAATATATAAGAATGTTTAAAAACTTTTAACAATTTTACAATTAGATCATGACAAGCACTGCAATGATAACAAATGTTAGTTAAACATTTCTTTTTCTATTTAACGATGTTATATGGAAGTGGGGATAAAAGCATCATTAGAAAAGTATAGGTGTTTTAATATATATATATATATATATAAAATATTTTAATTTTAATTAAAATTTTATTGAATTAATCCATTTATTTCGATCAACTTTGTCAAACGTTGTATTAATTCTTGTAAAATGTGATTTCCTAAATCCTTTTCTTTAAAAATAATTTAAGAAGTTGATTTTCGTAGGTCACATTTATTGAATTTGCGATTTTTATTTATATCAATATTTCAAAACCAATCGTCTAACTTATCTTAACACATTCGTGTCAGGGTATTTTTTTAATCAAAACATTAAAAGATGATATTTAGGAATATTCTTTTCGAAAATTAGAAATGCTATTAGGATGTAATTTTTTAATTTTATTTATTGACTAGGTATATATTATTTTTTTTATTTAAAAAAATCTTTTTTCTGCCTGTTTTCTTTAATTCAAAATGGCGTGTAAAAACAACGGTGAACACGTAATTTCCCACTAGGATGTCTGAAACAAAAAATCAAAAGGATTCTTAATCTGTGTACAAATGGCTATCGCATGAATCAGCGAAAATTAATTTTTAAAATAAAACATTACTCATATCGAGTTTGTTCAATTGATTGCTATTTCGTTAATTTTTTACCAAATTAATTTTTCCTGAATTACGTGATAGCCATTTATACAAAGATTTAAAATCTTATAGATTTTTTCTTTCAGACATCCTGAAAGGATGTTATTGTACCCACTACTGTTTTTTACGCGTAATTTTAATTAAAAAAAAATAGGGAAATAAAAGAATTTTTGTAAATAAAAAAAATGATTATATATTCTATGTAGCATTTAATTCGGTACCTTTTAAACAAATTTAGTACTTTTTGGTTAATAATCTTCATTATTTTCTGATAACTTTGGTCCTTCTTTTAGGCAACTGCCGAATTCCTTGATGAAAAAAAGATGGCGATTTTAATGGAATTAATTCAATATCAAGGCACCGAATTAATTGCTACAGCTAATAGCGAAATAAAATTTTAAAAAGTTATATGTTAATAACCTTCTTAATTTTTGAGAAAAAAATTTTTCAAAATTATCTTTCGTTTTTTCAGTTAAAGTAGTATTAATACCTTAAACAGGAAATAAAAAAAGCTGAAAAAATATGCAATTGTTTCAATTCGTGAAACATCTATTATGGTTCAATGAAGAGAATTTAATCCGTTTATATAGTATTCTTTGAATTTATTTCTAAAATAGATATATAAATGAAAATCTTAATTAAATATTTTCGCGTCATCCGATGCGAATGTGTTAATTCACTACGTGAATTAAACGCAAAAACTCCTATTAATACTTTATCAAAGTATCAATATAGAATAAAAAACATGTTTTAATTTGGAGTCATTACACAATGGATAATAATGAAGAGAAGTTGTCTATGATTATTATTACTTATAGAAATATGCTGTTAATAAATATGTACATACATTGCAGAAGATAACATTTTACAAAATGTATGGTAGGTATTTCAAAGTGAGTCAAATAAGAGTACGATAAGTATTTAAATACTATACTTATTTAGAATAATATCATTTTAAACTTTTCTTAGCGCGTGTCAAATAGTATAAATGCACACACATTGAATTATTATTTAAGCTGTTCACAAACTAAATCAATTAACTACACTTTTAGGATTTTTGTCAATTTTAATGCAGAAGCATTAAATTGATACTTAACTTTTCATATTTAAAATCAACTTCCTTAATAATGAGTTTAACACCATTAAATAACAACATTTTGTATGGCTGTTGAACAATAAATGATATGACAATGTATGCAACTTTTCAATTTTCTCTTTTTTTTTATTTTATAAAGTTCATCGATTTGGCGAATGAGTGGCTAATTTGACATTTAATATTAAACAAAAATACCTTATATTAACAAGGAAGAAAAGAGAAAGCAACATAAAAACAAAGATTCTATTATATTGAGTTAGCCAATAAGTAATGTCGTAATTTGTTTAATATACAGAAAATTTATTTAAATTATACATTAGCCATTTTATAGGTAGCTTCGTAGTATCCATCGAAAATTTATAATTTTTTTATAATTTTGTTATATTTGTTTGCAACAAAATTAAAAAATATACATTACGCCGACTTTTATGCCATTAAGCGAATTTGCTAAATCAGGTGAATATATCAAAAAGATAAAGCAAAAAAATACATCTTGTCATTGTTCATCTGATATTACTGATTAGCCAGTTTTGTTACTTAAAAAGGTCAAAAATAAATGAAAGGTTATATCAAAAAGGCATTTCAAAAATAATGGGAAGATGCGTTTATTTTTACAGTATATACTTTGTATTTTATTTCTCCGATATCACTTAAGCCTGTTGTTTTGAATATATTTATATGCAGAATCGTCAATATTATTTTATAAATTAAAATGAAAATTTCAGTCGTATTAAAATTGCATTTGGTGTTGTGACATCAGCAACATTTATTTCGTTACCATCTTTTAATCCAAGGTCTATCAATGTTTTAGATAAATTCTCACGGGTTTTTTCTTCGATACTTGAAACTGTTTGCATGTATAAAGTTTTATTTTTACCATCAATATTGGCAGTAAGACCAGGACTTTTCATTTGTAAATCAGGTTTATTACATAACAATTCTATTAAATCTTTCAATTTGAATGTAGAATCTGTAATTACTATTTCCTTTGCTAATTGACTGCATGCCAGACAGTCTTGTTTTCTCTCTGCTTCATAGGTATACGTATAAATTCCATCCAGATCATTAAGAACCTTATAAAACAAAAATATTATGATCAGCAATATCTTTTTGTTACCTTAACATATTGAGCACGGAACCAATTTTACTCTGCTTCTTGTTCATGCAATAACTCAGCGAGGTGTTCATTTACAAAGTATAAACAGAACATAACACACATCAAGTGATGATTGCATTTTACTTTTGAGGTATGAGAATGGTACAGCCAATGCGGAAGATATAAAGTATAAACAAAATATAATCAAATAGAGAATGGTAAAAAGACGCCCAAACAAAAAGTTCACTGTCAATTTCTAGAGACTGATGCTGTGCTTAACATGTTAAGCAAGTACAAATAAATAGAAATGAATAAACCAAAATGCAAGTTTATCTGATCAAATATAAATACCATGTAATTATTTAAGGATGCGCTACAACTGCTAGCAAGCTTAAATGCTTCTGTTGCACAGGTTGCAGCAATTGCTGCATTTGTAGATGCTACAGCAGGTATAATGTTTTTGACTACGCCTTGGACAAGTCTATATGTTAAACCTTGTATACTAAACTGAGCTGCTCGTTCACTAGATTTTTCATATATCCAATTTATATGTTGCGGATCATCGCCATCTATTACAGATTCAAATGGATTTTCTTTCGGCCATTGTATTACTTTAACATATTCTATACAGTGTTCTGGTAAACGTGGTGTATTGGCTATTGTGCACAGTGGATATGTAATCTATAAAAGTAAAAGGGAAGAATTTGTGTGTGTATTTTGTTAGTTTTAGATATTAAATGTTAATATTATGTGCGGTTACTTGTGGTGGATATAGATCTAATGTACACTCTATGCAGGCTGATAATCCAGGTAATATAACTCTTGCATTTCCTTTAAAACCTTCGGTTCCTCCATCGATCATAGGTACAATACTTGAACGATCTAATTCACCATCTTCGTAAACTAAAAGTGATAACAGCATACCATTGATCCATCTTCTTGCAACAATAGAATCTAAACCACAAATGACTATATGAAACTGTCTATAAAATGCTTCATCTTTCATTTGTATTTTACAACAATGCGGAACTACGTTGCATCCAGAGATTCTTGAATTGATGTATTTAGCAGCTACTTCAGCTTTTGATAAGCCGATATCTTTATGGCGAAACAAAAATTGCCTGAAAATTGAAATATGTAATTAAAGCTAAATCTTTAGCTTGTAAAAGCAAAGAATTTAAAAAGAAATATTATAATCAATTATATGATCTATTTAATAGTAAAAAGTATACCGATTAAGATTAGATAATTCAATAGTATCCATATCGATCACATGAATTTGTCTAAAGCCCATTAGGGCAAGATCTTTGAGCAATTCACAACCAAGACCACCAGCACCTATTACAAGTATTTTACAATTTTCCAGAAGAAATTGTAATGTTTCAGAAGAAGGTTCAAAGTCAGGTCTGCAAAAAGGTCCAGATCTTTCCAAAATTTTTCTTAAATTACTCCATCGTCTGTGTGTGTAATCAGAACCCATTTTTATTAAAAAGATATATATGAAAAATGATTTTTAATCAACTTCCAAAATATCAATCATGTATCATCATAAGCCAATGAAAGAAATTGTTTTATTATCGTTATACATATTCCGCATGTGTATATATATACATATAGGTACATCAATAACCGTTTACATTCTTGATAATATAATAATATATTAAATTCCTAAGGTTTTTTTATAGTTATATCACAATTGAGAATGCCTAGTTACTTTTGCGTATGAGAATTAAGTACAGTCTTCTTTTGAAGGTTGTCCTTTGAGGGATACAAGATAAGAAGAACAATACGTTAGTTTCACCTATCTCCGCTTTTGATGCTTTCAAGGTTCCGGAGTAAGATCTTTCTGACAAATTTTGTCGTAAATCGTAAGATATCTATATTTACGGAAGGCATACTTATAACCATGGAGCCTGTATAAAGTTGTAAAATTTTGTATCACATAAATAAGAATCAAAATCCATCATAAAGCATATCTTGATTAAAAATCAATACATCCCAAATATAAAAAAAATACATTTTTTAAACATTTATTTAAATATTTTAAGTAAAAATTTTATCACCAAAAATAAAGTAATGTACTATTACTAGTCATGTACCATAGTTTAAAAAACGATGGTCTATTCTACTTTGTTTCAATGTGTCGGTTCTTTTTCTTTAATACACATCAAGTTAAAGTTTTAAGCCTTCCCTCCAATAAGAAAAATGCATTGGGATTAGGCTACAACCACGGAGCCTTGTATAGAGCTTCGTTGCTACATCGATCAAAAGTAGGAGAGAGGCCGGTTATTTTAGTCAATGGGACCTATAGGAAATTCTATGCAGATGCCAATTGACTATAAATGAACAGTATTAATATATCTGCGATTAAAAGCGAAGTGGATGACATTTGGTGTTCGAATTCGTTGTATGCCTAAGTAGATCTACGAAATAAATGGCAGTTATCATGATGACATCCTCCGTAGCTGTAACCTTTAAAGATTTTCTAAACAATAACATTGAAAAGAGTAAATATATTGTTAAATTTTATTGTTTAGTTCCTGGTTGCTATTTGCAAATATCAATGTACGTTAATGCTCTATCTAACATTGTGACATGCAAGTCTAACCTCATTAACCTAAAAGTTTATTTCACTTAAGATATTCTCAAATAACAACTATTTCTTTCCACCGTACTTATATATATATATATATATATATATATAATTAAATGTACAAAGTGATGACATCTACATTTACTTTTAATTCCAAATAGACTGTTATTATATAAGTCCCTTAGTTGATAAGTTGTATAAGTCTACAATTCAGAAAAATTAGTTTGCTACGAAATAAAGTTTTGTGAATGCTTTATTATATTTATCAACTCAACTTTGGTTATTTGTTTATAAAAAGTAAAAGGTAATTTTTCATCATGAATGAAATGACCATAAAAGTTTCTGAAATAGCGCCGTAAGTCCAATATTTTGTACTTATTTCATTATCACGCAACAATTGGACTTACGCTACTGTACCATTTGATTAGTGGCGCATGAAGACTGTTAGTATACAAACAGTTGCACGAATGATCATCTTGCTATTTAATTTTTTTTTGTAAAGTTGTTCATTATCTCTTGGTTTTAGTATCAGCAACATTGTATTATTTGTGTATTCGTCAATAATAAATAACGTAAACTTAAATCATAAAAAAAGCCGAAAAAAAGGAAAAAATAGTGATGACTGTGCAAAGAACGTTGAAAAAACTGCGTAATTCAGAAAAGGAATATATAAATTGAAGTGGTAATATAATTCGAAAAAAAATACAAAACAATATAATACAATACAATACAATATAATATAATACAATATACAATAACCTAACCTGTGTGTGAACGCCATCATGGTGCGCGAGTTCTACAGCGTTTGTAAGTTATTAACACGTTCGCGGACAGTAAAAGTTTTAGCGAGGAAAAAAGTGACAGTCATTTTATTTTTAAATTAGTTATTCAAAATTTGATTAAACACGTTTTATAAAGGCAGCCAGATTATCATATATTAAAGAATCAATTGGTCATTACCTTTACAGGTATAATAATTACAAAAACTTAATGTTACATAAAATAAAATTCAAAATAATTGGCTTTAAAATTTGAATGCTATAGCATTTACGTTCGCGAACGTGTTAAGGAACAACAATGCTATATATAATAATTATATACTTAATTAACGTGATGACGGTACAATACTATCAAAGAATACAGTATTCTACCTACTATAGCCTATTGGTGGTCCCGGAGTAACTAAGATGAATTTAGTTATAGGCCAGTCAAAAAGGGCCTAAGAAGCGCCTTTATCGTCAACATCCTGCAAGTTTGATCTAAGGGTAATTCGACCACGCTGAATCGAATGGTGTTAATTTTTTTTGCAATTGGATTCCGAAATTTTGAGAAACAGGGTAAAAAAGGATAAAAATGGTTATATCTTAGAATCTAGGCATTTAATCGAAAAAAAGTTTCAAACAAAAGTTGTAAAGAATTGAAAAATACATAAAAAATGTTGTAAGATGTATCTTTGTATTTGCAAAAATATATAAATTCTCGCTACAGCATGAAAAAATATCAGAAATATATAATACAGAACACTCAACAAAATCGATGGCCCAAACAAAAAGACTCGCTATCGCCTAAAGAAATAGAAAGGGAGAAATATCCATTTCTTTTCTCACTCGCACTCGCATTCACGACCGAGAGACCCCAAGATAACGCACACTAGCTCGTTCGCCTGTAAAGACCGACGTAGAGGCGTGGCTTGCCCCCTCTCTTACAATTACCTTTCACCTTCATTTTCTCGCTTATTTTTGCAAATACGAAGATACACCTTACAACATTTTTTATGTATTTTTTAATTTAACACAACTTTTGTTTGAAACTTTTTTCGATTGAATGCCTAGATTCTAAGATATGGCTTTTTTATCCTTTTTCTCATAAATACGCCATCCAATTGTAAAAAGATATGCACCATTCGATTCAGCGTCGTCGAATTACCATTATATCAAGTTTTTCCAAATTCTTCAAATTTTCCCAGTTTTCCTTTATTGAGTGGACTATTAGCTTTTTCCCACGCGAGGCGCTTCTGTCGTCCCGTTGGTTGTTTCTTCGACTCTTCTCTAGAGGCATGGTTGAGGCACATTTGGTGCAAGAAATAGTCGTTGTGGCGCGATCGAGCCAACTGAGTAGCCAACGTTTGACATTTGTCGCGCCATCTAATAGTAGTAACTAACACCCTCTATATATATATATAAATCTATATAATAAAGTACGAGTATATAGCGTCTTTATTGTTTTTATATAAATAATCCTTTTTTAAAAGTTACTTTTATATAAATTTAAATCTAATTAGGCATAAAATGAATTAAAAATGAATTAAATTAATTATCGTTTTATATATATATATAAATACGTTAAAAAATGTTAGCTATATATAATAAGATTTGGTGTCAATCGAATATAAATTTAGTTATGTATTTATTCGTATATGTTAGGTGAATGTAAAATGTATTAACATAATGAATCTCATATTTAAAATATACAAAGTTTCAACTTTTTAATAAAATCAAAGCTTTTTATTTTTATTGATTGTAATTTATTTCAAAGGAATCGGTTGATTTTGTTTCCCTCCATGAAAATGACTTCTTTCAATTTTTGTTCGTGTTAGTGTTATACAATTTATACAGTTTCATATCTCTATACTTGAATTTTGTACATTTAGTATCATATCATGTCATGTAGAGTAGGTTGATGAACATCATTATATATTCGTTTCGCAATGAATAGGATTTTTTATTAATTTTAATTTGAATAATTAAACTACACAATTTTAAAGCAAAAATTGTGTTTCATTTTTCAGCGTACAATATCACCAAGTGGGAAATGAGACGATCCAACGAGATTTTGAATGAAAAATTGAATTTAGAAGATACGGATAGTGCATTAAACAACATGGTAGACGTCAGAGCCTGTTATAAGCCAAACGGAAAAGTAAGAATGAATTTTTATAATTTTACATTTTACAAATATGGCATTGATTGTAATCACGAACTCGATGCATTAAAATATATACAAACAATAATCATTTAAATGTATATCTTAAGAATGATTAAAATTTCCTCTTAAATTAGTTAATAATGGAATGAAATTAATTATATAATATAATTACTATCAAAGAAATAATATTACAATAATTCTCTAATTTGACTAAATATTTAATTAATTTTGTGATATACAATGCCATGATATTTCTTCAATTTTGATATATATATATATATATATATTTTTTTTTTGCATTATTATGTATTCTTGTCAGCATTACTTATTTTTTCTTTAAATAAATGTTTAATAAATTACATATTGTATATATGTGCTCAATTGTTTTGTGAATGCATGTGCGTCTTTGTTGTATGCCATATAAAATAACTTAAATTAGAATACTTTATGTATTCATATTGTCATATGTATATGCATGATATATGTTTGGAAATGCACGTTGAACACTTTTATGATGATATATTACTTATGATTTAACAAAAATGACAAGCATGTGGGGAAAAGAATAAAAGAAATTAATTTGGTAACAATTATATGGTGTAGGTCTGTGATTGTTACAAATTTTTCAGGATAATGCAATTTTGTCGTCGATACCTTTTATATTGGGAGCTGTATTTAGGAATATATTATTTGGTAATTATATAACGTGATCTATATGCTAACCAGTCTAATACTCGTTGCAGAAATTGTTCAACTATTTTCTATCAGCCTCAATATAAGCATTACAATGTCTTGTCATTAATTGTTGAACTTATTTAACACGTTAAGCCTATTTTGCTTGACATTCTGTTAATGCTGCATTTTAACGTCAAGTGTAGATGGCCATCTATGATATATAAAAAATAAACAAAGTAACAAAAAGCAAGGTTGAATTATGTTAGAACGACTATCAAATCCTTATTTATGCTTGTATTCTTTTCCTGAAAGCTTTGATTGAACAAAAACTAATGTTGCATATATGGAATGTTCAAACTCACAGTTACAAGGATCAGCGTGCGATGACAGTATAGTATAAACTTAAATGCTATGGCTGGTCCTCAGGACCTAACGTGGTGCTTAATTATCAAATAAAATATTTCCAGATACTAGTTTCTTTCTAAAAGTTGTTTATAATAATATTCTTCATTAACCAAATTTGTAACATGGTCACAGGATTAACCTGTACATACACACATATACATGAGAGTATTTAACGAATAAAATACGTATATTAAACCAAAATATTTAAAATAATTTTGGCATAAGTAATATCGGATAGGTCAAATAAGAAAACATGGAGTTATATTAGGTGGAAAAAGAAGAGTCCGTTATTTTAAGGATTTATAGTACTTATCGAAAAAAGTAAAAAATGTCTAATTAACATGAATATGAAAATCAACATTATCAATGTAAAT